ATTGGCTTCTGCAGAAAGTTGCTGCGTTTATATACCCCTTAATATTAGCTGCAGCACTTGCTGCATCAGACGAAGTTTGTAAGATTTTCATATTTTGTAGATCGAAGCTACGAAACTTTTTCGTCCCTGGTACAGTAGTAACGTTGTGTGAAAATTTCATCCAAATTCGAGCAGTAATTTTCAAGACATAGGCTGTCCAAGGATTAGCGGACAGACCAACAGACAGACAGACCGACAGACATACCGACAGACACACCGACTGACAGACCGACGGGAATGAGTGACATGTTACATAACGTCCAAAAAACGTATGTCTTTTTCGAAATTTTTCGTGATTATAATACTTTCTCGCCAGTAGGTGTGGAAACTTAAAACAATGTCCCATTTTCGAAATTTTGTTGTACCTCGTTTGGAGTCTTGAAGATGACTCGCGTGAATGACGACCAAAAACCGCCAATCATATCAGAAGCGATCGAAGAGGTCCACGATATCGTGCTTAAGGACAAACATGTGAACGTCACTAAGATAGTTGGGGAGTGGAGAGATCGGAAGAAAGGGTACGAAATATCTTGCACAAGGAGCTGGAGTCTAGGTATGGTGGGTGCCGCATTTGCTAAATGCCGATCACAAGAGGATGCGCAAACGTTTTTCACAATAATGCTGATTTTTCGACCAATTGTTTGATTTATATAACTATTGTGTGATTTATATAACTTGAAACAAAAGTCGATGTCTCTCTAGAATAACTCCTACCTCACAGACATTGTTAGATCTTATTATAGTTAGTGAAACGTTAAATATTAGTTTCCACGAAGCTCTAAGCCTGCATGACACATTTGATCATTTTTTAGTTTCGTGTCACATCTTGGAGAAAAATTTGATTTCAGATCCGCCAAGAGTCGTTAACGCCCCCTCCTGGAAGCATTTTAATTATGAATTTTTTAGTAATACCTGCATTTTATTAATTGGGATACAATTTATATCTTCAACAACGTCAATTTAATGGTCGAATTCTTAACAAGAGAATTAATACGTCTTTTCGATATGTGTTGCCCTGTATATGAATTTAGAGTCACCAGAAACTTTACTCATTGGATCACGGATAATATAAAGCTTCTAATGAAATTGCGCGACAAAGCTTTCTGTAAGTTCAAAAAAAGTCGTCAACCTTCTCACTGGAACTATTATAAGGAACTCAGAAATTATACAAAAGGGGCCATACAGCGTGAGCAGAAAGCTTATATTGAATTTTCTATAAAACAAAGATATATAAAAATGACTTGGCATCGGCTACGTCAAATAGGAGTTGTCAAAAACAGTACAAATTCCATTCCTCAACACCTTTCCAATCCAGATACAATCAATGCTTACTTTTCAAATCTACCCAAAGTTCATAGAACTCAGTCTCAACTCGATTTGTTAAAAACATACCAAGAACCTCGCAGTAACAACTTGTTTTCTTTCACTTCAGTAGATGCTGCATTAATTTCAAAAAACATAATAGTATTAAATCTGATGCAGCTGGACATGATGTTATTTCCAAGAAAATGCTATATGTTTTTGAGGATCACCTACTGTGCCACATTACCTATATTATTAACTTTTGTTTATAAAACCCCGTTTTTCCAGAAGTGTGGAAGATTTCAAAAATCATACCAATTCCCAAGGTATCTGTAGTAGAAGATATTAAAGATCTGAGACCAATCAGTATTTTACCAATACTCTCCAAATTATTGGAAATGGTCATAAGGCAGCAAATCTTGGAATTTGTTATGACCAACAAAATTATACCACCAATCCAATCTGGATTTCAAGCCCAATACGACACGACAACTGCACTGGCATGAATAGTTGATGACTTCTATAAATCATTTGACAAAGGTAATGTTATGTGTTTAATTCTCTTGGACTTCAGTAAAGCCTTTTATACCCTAGAACCCTAGATCATAATATATTGTGCATGAAGCTGAAGTACTTTGGATTTGCAGATAATGCCGTAAATTTAATAAGGGGCTACTTAACTAGTAGGTACCAATACGTATCGGTAAACTCTTCATCTTCTGACAAAAGAATACTTACATGGGTGTACCACAAGGGTCCATATCAGGTCCTTTACTATTTTCTTTATATATTTCAGACTTTCATAACTACGTAAAATACAGCACTATGCGGATGAAACACAATTAATTGTACTTCAGTTTTCAGATTGAACACATTTTGAACTCCTCCCTTGATTTAGGACGATATGTTATACAATATATCAATTGCACATAATCTAAGCCTTAATGTCAACAAATCAAAGGCAATGCTGTTTGGCTCTAAACAAAAACGTATGATCTCTGAGCGTTCGTTTAATCTGAACATTAATAACATAACATTACCTCTGGTGGGTGAGAGCAAAAATTTGGGATTGTGGTTTGATTCAGATCTGCGATTTAGTGTCCATGTCAATAAAATTTCCTCCTCAGCCTATATGCTTAAGCAATTATATCCACATCGTCGTGTTTTAAATAGTAGCTTGGAAATGAAGTTATGTGATGCCCTTATAATTTCTCGCCTATCTTACTGTGACAGCATACATGGTCCGGCTCTTTTAAAAAGTGATTGTTTAAAATTATAGCGAGTACAAAATTCGTGTCTGCGATTCTCCTTTGGTATAAGAAAGTTTGATCACATAAGCCATATATTCAAACAACACAACATTCCAAGTTTAGATAGATTAAGAAAATTGCATTTCCTATCACTAATCCACAAAGTTCTCGTGAACAAAAAGCCGGAATACCTTTTAGATAGAGTTTCAATGTTTGAAAGTATCAATACATTATATACTAGAAATAGGCCAATGATCGTTATACCACCTTACTCAACATCAACCTTTAAACGCAGCTTTTCATATAACGCAGCCTAACTATACAATTGTCTCCCAAATGATTTTTATGAGTTCTCTTTATTGAACTTTAAGAAAAAGCTAAAGAATTTGTATCTGTCTGAAGTGTGAAGAATCCTATATGCCAACTCTGTTTACGCCCACTACTTTTCTACTTGTCTCTCTTTCATTATTGGTCTAGTAATTGTTGATTCAAAATCGTTACCTTCAAAGATATATTATGATTTGCTGATAGGATGTTGATAACTACACCAGCAACAAAAGACTTTTAATTCTACCTTTCATTGAGAAAGTTATCGTAGTTAAATGGATGAGCTGAAACTCACTACATTTTTGTTATGGTTAGTTCCTTTCTCAGGCACTAGGTACACCTTACAGAATAGTTATTATGACTATCATTGATACTTATGTTTATCTTTATTATTGGGTTTTCCCTTAGATATGTTCATGATATTATACGAGTACACAATTTTTTATTTAAGGTTGAGTTGAAAAATACCCCTAGGGTAACACTTTTGCGGTTTTCAAGATATTATTGTTTTGTTTTATTTTGTGTATGCAAAGTTAAATAAAGGAACATTATTATTATTATTATTATTTAATTATTATTATTATTATTATTATTATTATTATTATTGTTATTATTAATATTAATGTTAAATATTCGACCGAGTTTCATCACCATGGATGCGAGTTGGGTCCACCACTACACGCCAGAAACAAGACAGCAGTCAAAGCAGTGGGTTTAACTCGGTGGGTTAACGCCAGAGGAGTAAAATGGATTGGATCTGCTGGAAAGGTTATGGCCAGTGTGCTTTGAGATGCGAAAGGAATTCTGTTAATTGATTAGGTACCTGAAAAAGCGAGGAACAATTCCGGGCGATTACTGTTCCTTCCTCCTTGATTAACCGGATGCCAAAATTCGTGAGGACAGGCCTGGCTTCAAAAAGAAAAAGATAATCTTCCATCAGGACAACGCATCTTATAAATAGTGCTAACATGGGGGTAGGACTTGCTCTTGATTAGGCATCGGATTTGAAGGAATTTCTTTGTCTGGGAAGAGCTTTGCGTCCAATGAAGAAGTTGAGAGGACCATTGATGAGTATTTTGACAAACTTCCAGACCTCCACATCCGAGAAAAAATCGTAATAGCTATTTCAGAAATGTTGGACCAAGTTTGTTGGAGTCCAAGGGAATTGTGGAAAGAATGAAATAATTTTTTAACTGAAAATCAGTCTTTCATGGTCAGTTGTGAACTTCAACGTTTCTCATTTCCATCTCCTGTTGCGAACTATTTACGGTGGGTTAATTTGGGACACCGATTTGGGATATAGCAACAAAAAAAGAGTAAGAAGACTAGCAAATGCTTCAGACCCCGCATATTTAAGTACCCGCGCATTTGTGAGCCCCGCGCACCAACGCTTTTTGAAAGTATCTCTCCTGGGGGAGAGAGCACTGATGCAGCCGCCGCCAATTTGCCTCAAAATGCAAATTTATCATTTTCCTTAACGTTGTGACAAGGCTAGCTACGCAGACCTGGAGGCTCCTCTGTTCTTACTACCACACGTCTACTGGCGGAAAAGTATTGTTTTGGAAAGTGAGATACCATGTTTTATGACATCACAAAAACCATGTCAATCATTTTCGCCCTGTTTTCGCCGTACTGTCTGTGTCTGTCGGTCTGTCCGCAGGGATTTTGATGAAATTTTCAAACAATATCACTACTATGCCAAGGACGCAAAAGCTAGTTTTTGAGTGGCGACACTTGTGTATTTTTAATCGAAATTATTCTGAATAAGCCCTTTTTGAAAATATATGCTTCAAAATAGTTTGAATCATCCTGGTATAGGAAATGATACTTGTGAAACGTGGGCGACATCTATAAAATATCTCACACAACTAAGTGTATTGAAGTTCAATACATCGTTCATGGATGCCGCCATATTAAAACTATACAGCGCTATCTAGAAACTAAAATCTGAATTAGGCATAAGAAAATAATTACCTACTCAAGTCATAGATAATGCCATGAGTCAATGTGTACAGCCATCTACTGAGTAATGGATTGATTAATGATACATGTCAATAACTGCGCGCCATCTAACGGGTAAACGTTACACCACTAATCTGTGTGCAGTGACTAGTTGCTGTGACCTATTCTGAATGAGTAGATTTTTAGATTAGATGGAGCAGCGCCACCTTCAACTAACGAGCCATGAAGAGAAAAAGGCAACACCGCATCATGGCATTTTGGGGTCCGGCCGTCCAGCTGGTGTGTGCCGTTATTAAGGCGCGTTTTCACGGGTCGATCTGAGTCGAACAATTTGTGTCGAACATTGAATCGAAAGCAAAGTGGTGTCGTTTTTATTTTTGGTCAACATACATCGCCTATCGTGTAAACCTTTTTGCTTTCAACTCAGATCGAACCATGGTCGAATAACCCAGGTGGTTCAACTTAGATCGACCCGTGAAAACGCGCTTTTACAGAAACTTCGATTCGAGCATTTTTTTGATGAATCTCAAATTTACAAGTACAAAGTACAAAACAATTTCACTAAACATAAGTTCAAAATCGAAATTACAGAATGTGAATACTCTATGCGAACCCTAGAGAGGGAAATTCACAAGAATACTAATTATGTAGTGCTTCTTATAACTAAGTTGTTTGCTGGCAGACGTATACAGGAGTAGAATCGTACTTGAGATGTATAAATGAGGTATTGCATTACCACACCAAGTTACCAATTTATATCGGGAGGTTTTGCCAAGAGCCATATATCTGTGGTACTAAGGCAAAACCCAATATGTCAAAAAATATTGATTTTTTGTTTTTAATGTCAATATGTACACCAAATGACGAAGTATTCTATGGCAAGACCCGATATAATTTATAAAATTTCCGTAACACTCTAAATTAATGTTATTTTTTTAAGGAGGAGCTTAAAATTTAAAAAAAATTGGAATTACTAAAAAAATTATATTCAGAATAAAGATAAGAAATAAATAAAATACATAACTGGAAACAAAACAAAAAACAGTGTACAAACTAAAAACAACGATAACTGAAAATTAAATAATAAGAGAAAATAAAATAATTGTAACAAAATAATACCTAAAAGGATATTAAAAAAGATATTGCACATTTTATATATCATTCACACATTGAAGGTGCTCAGCTTTCTCCGCTTTTGCAAATCAAAGCTTGTGACTGGGGATTCAGTTACACTATTACGGTTGGCCCGAGAAGTAGATACATTTTGATTAAGGTTTGCTTTGTCAATTAATTTTGTATTATTTTTAAATTTAACATAATCATTTAAAACAATATTTGAAAAAATTGATAGGAGGTTTAATAGGATATCTCTATAATTATTCCCACATAAGCAAGTTTGAGAAAATTCCTCATAAACAAGATCTGATTCTATACTTTGCAAGGTTAGATGACATAAAATATTTTTCTGCTGAGTACTATGTAAAAACTCATTTTCTAGTCTATCTATGTTTATTATAAATTCGAAAATGGTAAAAAATAATATTGACATATTCAGTTGGAATAGACAGTCCTCCTCTTTGCAAATAATTAAAATATTCACCTCCAAAATTTGTTCCTTTTTCCTTTACAATGAGTGAAATGCATATGGGACAATTAAGTTTTTTAGAAATACTATGTGAGGCATAACCAGAAATGTACATCTTAGTATCGTCTTCTAAATCACAATTTGATAAATAATTGCTACAAAAGATTTCTGAGAATATATCAAAACTTTTGTCAGGATCTAAATTTTCACTACTTCCTGGTGTACATGATAGATTTTGAAATTTGTTCTTGATTTCTGTGAATGAAAATGATTGTGATTTAATAATGTGTTTGAGTCTGATCTTCTTCTCAGAATGGATGACATCATCACAGGAAACATTATAAGTGCAACCACTTAAAAGACGATAATTACCAAACCGTTTTTCTAGAGCATCAGTGGAAAATTTACCAACTAAAATATAGGAAACAGGAAACTTCTGGAAGGAGTGTTCTATGATTTTTAAAATGACTGTAGTTGTTAAATACAAAGCAGTGAAAGTCTCATTTGTCAAGCGGCCATTGTTGTTTGGAACACTGTTCCATTGCTCGAGCCAAATCAGAAATTTTCTCAGATATTGGCACCGGAAGTCATCTACACTAGAAACAGGCTTTGAAAATTCATTTAACTTACATACACCCTTAATGCAACTTTTATTATTCATAACATCCCACCAATTTCTGATGATATCTAAAAATCCTGGAGTTCCTGTGAAGCCAAAATCTTTAAGAGCTGCTATAGTTGAATGGTGGAATAAGTTATCTGCAAGATGTACCTTTTGTCTATCAAAATTATTTGGGTGTATTGTTTTTTCATTTAATTTGAAAGCTTTCTTAACTACGGAATGTTTTTCTAAATTATACACATTATTGACTTCATGAAACTTGGCATGCTGTGCTTCTCCAGTCTCAAAATGTGGGTAAACAAATGTCTTGTCAAGGTTATTTAGGTTGATCCAATTCTTACGGATATTTTTGAAAAGATGAACAAAATCAAACAACAAAAATATTTTGTTGTCTGGTGAAGATGGACTATGGAAGTATTCTGGAAAACCTGTATTTGGGTTTATATAACTGTTGGATGAACATTCTGACAATTTTTTAAACATAGCTCTATTTATCCTATGATTATCAGATATGATACATAAAACTTTAAAGCCATTTCAAATCATTACATGAGAGCGGATCCCCTTTATTAAATACCTTAGTTTCTAATGAACTGTCTATTATAATTTGCGTATTTAAAACTAAAATTTCACTGATTGTTTCTAATTTTTAAAAATAAATTTTGTCATTAGTCTTCTTCACCAAACAATGTTCAGGGATTTTAATCATTTTAGAATAGTTTTCCAATAAATCTGAGATTCCTGTAATTTTGTCTTTTTCCTGAAATTCTGAAACCAAATTCTCATGCCTTTGAAGGATCTTATCTTGTCTGATGGCAGGATCTGTTCTACTAGAAACTTGACGCTTACTTAGATAAGATGGCACATTTGGAAAGACTGATGGAACAGCACCTTCTGAAAGTTTTGGACGACTCAGTGTGACTGTGTTAGCTGATCCATCCTGCAGAACATAAGTTTCCGTACGGACAATTTCTGCTTGTTGAAAATGTGCATCACAAACAACAGAATCTTTAGAAGGCGACCAGTCCTTTCTTGGTATTGAAGCTAGCCACTTACTTTTCAACTCCTCATTTTTTGGAAATCGAAACACTGACCTGTAGGGTGTCGATCTCAATTCTGCCTCGTAGTTTCCCTTGCAGCCTGGTACACAGCAACGCTTAGGCATATTAATTAAAAGAAAACATGTACCCACTCGAATCTACACACTATACAGACGTTTCTAACAAGCACCGATTCACACACATTTTAAACACATCAAAGCACGATTTTATACTACCTAAAATAAATACTTTCTGCACGGTTTGAAGAGCAAAACTAAGTAGATTACTCTGGTTTGTATGACTTGCACTGTTCCCAGAGATTTACAACAAAATTGCACCAAAAAGTCGGAGGTTAGGAATATAAACAAACGAAAAGAACGGCAAACACCTGTCTGTGGAAGACCCCAAAGCTGCGTTGCCATATCTACTGTTCATGGCTCGTTAGTTGAAGGTGGCGCTGGATGGAGTATTTCAAATTAGACAAAAATGACATTTTAAAGTCAATACATGTCGTCTTTCGTCTTGTCGTCAGAGATAACATGTCAACACTGTGAGGTTTTAGATAAACCAGGAGCTAGTGTATACCTATAATAAAGAAAAACTAATTTAAAAAGTAGGTAAGTTGGGGTAAAACATTTTTCAGAAGACTTGTAACACCAGGCGAAAGAAACTTTAATCCTTATTATGAATAATCTACTATCAAAGTTTAGCCAAAATATGAGTACTGATTGCCCCTTCTTGCTGGCGAGTACTTTAATAAAATACCATAGAATTAGTATTCAGTATTGTGCTTGCATATGAACTTTATGCTTTTCTTATCAACAGCTAGAAGTTAAACACTGGTGATAAAGTAGAACCACCTTAGAAAATCAACCTAAACAAAAGTTTTTGCTACCATGGCTCCAATAAAGGTAACATTATTTGATATATTATTTGTACAGAACTGCAACATTATGCTTTTTATAGTTGAGTTAACTTTTACAGAAGCATTCTTTTTTGATTAATTTGTTTTGTAATCATGTGACGAATAAAGGCCATTTATTATTATTATTATTTAATCTGTACTTTACAGATTATTAGTTACTTCATATAAATCAATAAATCAGTGGTTATGTCTAGTTGCACCTATGAGCTAGCAGCACATGAAGTATGACTTACTTTAATTGCTGAAAACTCTAGCACATAGCACCTTAAACATAAAAAGGCAGTGTTAATGACTACATGTGCAGTATTTGTGATTTCCAAAACTTTAATGCATGCCTACTGGTTCAGTAATTGTATACTCTAATTTGAAAATATATCTTTATTGATTTATAGATTGGTATCATAGGGGGTACAGGTATGGCAGATCCTAAAATCCTAAAAAACCAAACTGAGAAAAAAGTTGATACTCTGTTTGGTCTCCCATCTGATTCTCTACTGATAGGTGAAATAGAGGGTGTACCATGTGTGGTGTTAGCAAGACATGGCCGCAAACACACTATTATGCCCTCAAATGTGAACTATAGGGCAAACATATGGGCTTTGAAAGAAGAAGGCTGTACTCATATTATAGCAACCACTGCTACCGGTTCTTTGCAGGAGGCTATCAAACCTGGAGATATTGTTGTTTTGGATAGTTTCATTGATAGGTGAGGAATTAGATTCAAGGTCTAGAATCTAAAATGATATCAAAAGATAGAGACAAAAGTAGATTGACTATAGTTTTCACATGTTGGTGTATTTATTGGATTTATTAGATGTTCAAATGACAAAATATCTGATATCTGATAAGATTTTTTTGACCTGCATCTGACATCCACAAACTACGAAGCGCAAAGGGATCTGAAGCTTGAGGATGTTTTGCAATTCTTTTGCTTATCAGTATCTTGGTATTTAACCAATTTTTTTAATCTACAATGTTCCTCAGTCCTTAGCATAATAGTAACCATCTGTCAAATTTTTATCAAAATCCTGGTGCTCCTTGAGATAAGCAAGCTACTAAACAGGCCAAGATGACAGACAGACTGACAGACATTAGTGACCTTTATGTTATAACACATTGAACCATTTTTACATTTTTCTCTATTACAATTAATTGTTGCCTATTGGATATGGGAGGTAATTAGATCTTTTGCTTCAGTATATGCCCAGGTTCCTATTTGGTGATTTAATAATCTGACCTGACTATTCATAGTAAATCTACATCAAATATTAATTGATACAGTTGGTTTTGATTTGTCTGGTATGCAGAGATGATTTAATTTGTTACAATCTATTTTTATCTCAAAGTGATATGTTGAACAGAGAGAAAAAGATATAATGTTTGCAATATCATTGGAGATAATATGAAAAACTGCTGTATCTATATTTATACAATTATACATTATTTAAGTATGCTTATGTAATATTTGATGAAAGCTAATCATCTCATTTATCCACTGATCACATCAGTGACTAAAATAGAGGTCCTTAAACCCTAAAGTAGACAGTTTTGACATCAATAGCTAAACACATTTATAGAAGTGTATAAAATATTTAAAATAGGGCCAAACAAATTATAAATTGAAACTTTAATAACCTTATAACATCTGAAATATATCATGTGGTTTTCATGCTGTTAGAACTCAATGATTCTCTGACCAAATGAAACTACATATGTTATCTTTAATCTGTACCACAGAATAGATAACCCAGAAGCTACACTCTGGCAAAATCCCCAATACAATTTTCTGCATTCGACACTTAAGCGATCGGCTACGGCAGGTCGCGCGCACCGTCATGTACAGCCTCAAGCGGCGATAAATAGAACTCTGTACAGGCGTGGACTTTCGGTTCTTTCCAAGAATGAATTTCTGATATTCTCGACTGGTCATATACGAGTGTAGCAGACAAGATCAGAGCAGCTCGTGGCAAGGCAACAATCATACTATTCATTTGTATGGATGACTGTATATAGTCTCTGATAACCAGAAATTGCTTTTTGGAAATAAGTGAATAATTTACTAAACCTACTCGCTACTGGTGGGAGTAAAGTAATTTATACAGTGCATGAGGCATACAATAGATCAGGAAAACTATATAATGCATATTGAGATGTGCTCACTATGTGATTTTATCGTCATACAGTTTAAATAGGCAATATGCGTGTGGTTCAGATATCGGTTATTTATTTTTATTTACAGTATATGGCTATAGAAAGATACCTTCAACCTTATTTTATACGTTTGGGATATGAAATTACGAGTATTAATGAATCGAAAATGAGAAAAATACGCGGCAAATTTAAAATATCGAAACGCAACGCTACTAGCGTGACGTCACAATATCGGCAAGACAGCAGCCAATCCTTGGGGCTTTAGCTGATAATGTCAAAAAAATCGGTAAAATATTGAGTGAGCGTGAAGTGAATGTCAGTTAGTTCAGTGTCACTTTTACTTCCCACGCCTACTGGCGGGGAAGTATTGTAATCGCGAACATTTTTGAAAATGAGATATTTTTTGGTTATATGACATGTATGTACATCACGAAAAACCATGGAACTCATTTCCGTGGGTCTGTCTGCCCGTCGGTCTGTAGGCGATTCTTATAACCGCTTATAACTTGAGAAGTACCGCTCAGATTTCGATGAAATTTTTACACAATGTTGAAAATCTATCCAGTGGTGGCAGAGAAAAAGGCCTTTAACTAAAAAAAGTAAAAATTACCCAAACTTCATTTTTTGACGTTTTAAGGGAGCTTCAACATTTTTGGAGAAAAAAATTGAGGGTGGATTTTGTAAGGGGAAGGATCTATCTCAGTTGTTTGATGCTGGTACATTTATACGCTCCCAACATTGGTGATTCTACGCAACCTATTAGACATATAGTATTTCACACATCATAGATTTCTCAGTACATCAGTCCTGAAAACCTGAAATAAATATTCTCGGCAGACGATTGGAGTACCTATCGACCGCGGCTGCTGCTGGCGTCATTGTGCCGACCGTGTTCTGGACTGGAACCACATGTGTTTCTGCTGTGTAACAACATTGAGTTTTCTCTGCTCTAACCGCACTACCATGGTTCCACGTCTGCCCGAGTTATGTATCGGAGAGAGGCGACGTTTCCAGATGCACTACCGGTATTGTAGGAGAGAATGTCTGTGGACTAATTGTATGGACCTGTTTGACTGCACATTTTTCTCAGAGGGTTTTGTTCGTGCTGAACATATCTCTTAATGTACTGCTAAAGGCGTTGCGTGGGAAGTGCAGAGTCAACCTACTTGACGCCATTTTCTAAGTTATGTAACACGGGTGCGGTATTAACTAGAAAGTATAAACACGCCAAATAAATGATCCCATGTTTTAGGTGGTGAATCCCATGAACTTTTATACTATGTCCGAAAACACTCGTTTGTTGAGGGTCTCAAATTTTCCCCTATTACTTGTTTCTGCGCCTTTATTGGGAAAGGTATTCTATGATTGGTTCGTAGCTTTTTCGCTAAAGTTATTTTAAAGGCATTTGTTCTGCCTTATAGTCATTCACATATAGAACCTGTTTGACCCATAATGTAATTAAGCACATTGCTGGACAATGCACAGTTTAACGCCGCTAACAGATCCTGTACCGTTGTGTCTGCAGCTGCTTCTGGCTGAAGCGAGTACGTTGACAGCTCCGGTTATATTGGTGGTCTGTGGACCGAGAACACGTGGTACAGTGCGAGCGCGTAAAATCAACTCGTCTGATCTGACAAACATTAGCCAGAGTGATTTTACTGGGTCTATACTCTGTCTGTACTTTGCAGTAGACCAACCTGGTGGCAGAAACGTCAGTAGAGAGTTGTTTCAACATATGTGCCTTCATTTGTCCAGAGAAACATGGAGTTCTATGAATACCCTTAACGAAACTTCAGCCTCCTAGTACATCTTTTAATCGTGTTATGTCTTTCAGGACCCTCAAACGTGAGCAGACATTTTATGATGGGAAACCTGGTCATCCAAAGGGAATATGCCATCTTTCAGTGGAGCCTTCTTTTTGTGAAGAAACACGAAAAGCGATAATCGAAAGTGCGAAAAAGATTGGTATGGACGTTCATACAGAAGGTAAATTTCACTATTTTCTTCTACTTTATGGGCATATTATGTCTGATTTTATAGCAGTCAAATGTCTTTTGATAGCCATCAAATTCTAAGATCTTGGCTTCTACTCAGTGAACTAAAGAGTCCATCAGATATAACTAGATTTGAAAAATTACTAATTCTATACAATTTGGATGAAATCGAGGTTCAGAAATGTGATATTAGATTGTAATGTTGTTTATTATCAATATAGAATGATTTAGAGAAACGTGGCATCATTTATAGAGTAGGAAGTCCACCCAAAAACAACAAAAAACTCTCTTCAAACATAGGTCCTAAAATGTTTCATTACCAAGATACAGGGTGTTGCAAACTGTTGCATATTTCCATAATAGAACGGATTTAGTAGCTTTTTACCTGGATTTTAGCTCAAATATTTAAACCAAATTTTTCCCAAAAGGAGTAGTCTGACATCAACACAGTGATTCAAAACGATTACTGGCGTAGAAAATCAATTTCTTTTTCCTTCTATATTGATCCAACTTTCCCAATTTCTGTACCACTGGTGTAGACTTGCCCGAAATTTTTGTTGTTAGTACTACATGTACAAAATGCTTAACAAGCTATGAAGATATAAGCTTGTTTGATTTAGATATTAAAACTTCAATACCCTGTATCTGGAAACTAGCATTTTAGGATTCAGGTCTAGACCTTTTCGCGCTTTTTTTACCTTATTACCACCCCAGAAATATTGCCGCGATTTACTGAATTACTCTTGACATTATTTCATTTTTTACAAGAAAATTGCAAGGAGTTGAACGGTTTTCTACAAGCTTTGACGTGGTAAAGAGAGTATTCCACAATATTGTTAAATTGATACAGGTTCCACTTTTTTATCTTAAATAAAATGCGAGTCTAAAATATTAATATCATTCGGTAGCGCCAATTATTCTTATACCAAGATACACACGTATATGACTTAAAAGAGCTTTATCTCGTACATGCTATAACCAACTATCACACTTATCAATAACGACCAAAAAATTAAACACAATCTCCACACAAGGCATAAACTAAGAGGAACAGTTGTACCTAAACCAAGTAAATCTGTAACACAACGATCATACCATTATTTAGCTTCAAAATTATATATCAATTACCTGATGGTATAAAGGGTCTATGCTTTGGGAATAGGTTCAGGAAAAAGTTAAAATAATGGATTTTTCTCTCTGACAAGACCAGAGGTATACAAATTAATAGTAAATGTGATCAAATAATTCGTTGATTAGTTGTATCTCTATCCGTATTTCAATGATACAGTTGCAACATCAATAGTCCATGTACAGACAATGCCTCGTGTGGGCCGTTACGTCATATTTATTTAGTGTTTCAGGAGTATTATTCTTATTGATTAATATATTCTTCAAAAAGGTGCCTAACATTTATTTACAATTTCCACTGTAAGAGACATCTTGTCAAGTAGAGCAGCGTAATTGCCGAGATTTTCCTTTTGAAGAAAGTTGTTTATCCTTAAGCATGACTTCAACCTATCAAGGAAAATTTACTTCTCAACCCTCCACATTATCATTCCTAAGATTTGGCATTCTCAAAATTTCACAATGGCGGAAAATGAAATCCCATTAACCTGTGGCAACAGTGCGAGTGGTGGCAATACTGGCGTCTAAAGGCGAGGTATTGTATTCGCTATGTGCGAAGTTGGTGGTGGGGATCGTGAAATTGATGGCAGCGCGCGATGTGGCAGAGATGTAAAATAACACCGGATTGATATGTATTAGGCAGCAGCGGTGGCCGCAGTAGTAGACTGTTCGGTCTCCTGATCAGTCGCCGTGCGCTGTGCGGGTTCGAATCCCGTCCCAAGAGACATTTTTCTCTTGGCTATGGATGTTGTGATTGTTCCTAGGTGATAGACGGTATCTGACTGTCGAATGCAGAGGTACCACCCGGCGGATCTCGTAGGCGGAACCAGAATGTGTGCATATCGCATGCACACTTGTTCCCTCGCCAGAGTCCGTGTGGTATTCCCCATTTCCCCTGTATCCCCCTATAGCCCCACGGTACCCCATGGGAGTTTAGGCCTTAGGCCTTCGTGGTGGTTGGAGTATAAAAAAAAGTACCAGCAATTTATCTGGAATTGAAAATAAACATTAAAATAATTCATTCAATCCAATAAAAACTATTAATATTATTATTATTATTATAGTTATAAGTAGCTTCGTCCATTCCTCCTAAGCTTTTCAAGGACTCTCACATACTGTGCTAATATTAATTTGTTCCCTTTTTGCATAGTTTGGGGTAGGAAGTTCAAATCATGTTTTATGGATTGGAATCCCGCACGTATCATCACTTAATTTTTTGTTCAAGTACCCAGACTACTTATCCATCACAACCTTTTTAAGTACTTTCATTTAATTTAAATTAAAAGCAGGTCGTAAATTGTTACTAAAACATCTAGTTGTCAAGAATTGACAGCTCCCGAGTCGGTATGATCACTACGGATTTCAACTGAATTTGGTATCTCTTGAATATGTTGATCGATGGTTTGATACTGTTTTATGATTTCCTACTCATTAATCTTGTTCCAGGTACAGTAGTGGTGATCGAAGGCCCTCGTTTCTCTACCAAAGCAGAAAGTATGGTGTACAAATCATGGGGTGGTCACGTGATCACAATGACCCCAGTTCCTGAGGTCATTTTAGCCAAAGAAGCAGGTATTTGCTACGCTTCCATCGCATTGGTTACAGATTATGACGTGTGGAGGAGCACTGGGGAAACTGTTAACGCCCACGAGGTCATTAAAACGTTCCACGCGAATATTGATAAAGTCAAGAGTCTTATTCTGGCGTCTGTGAAGACTGTCGCCGAGAAGGACTGGGATCAGACAATCAAGCAACTTAAGGTGAGCTTTTCTTTCTCAAAATGTTGTGCGGAAGTAGGGGGAAAATCTCACGATCGCTACCTACCAATGGCTTGTTAACCTGATTTCATTCTCCGAAATACTATCTACAGTTCTCTATGCAACTGATTCTGGCAATTATATGGACTGCATATTTTTGTATCGTGAATACTCTTTTTACGCCAGATGACGCTCCTCAATTAAAAATTCCATGCTTTAGGATTGAATGAACATTTGCATAATATAAAGTTAGAATTATTTCCTGGTAACATTGACTTGGCATAGATTTACACAATCTGGTACATACATTGTCAATGTATAATATAACCCATCATTATAGGTTAAATTAAAATGTATGCCTTCCCGCTGCTTATTTATTATTATGACTGTCTTATGATGATTTATAGTGAGATTATTATTTTCAGACCACATCACTATTTTCTGTAACTGCTATTATCTGTAAATCAAGTAAACTATTTTCTGAAATTAATATGGTTGCATCATCAGGGTAACATTTTGCTGATACCCTATCAAATCGTTGACGAATACATTGAAGACCTAAGACCCCATGACAGAACTTATGACACACCTTGAGTAATAGCACTTACTTAAATATGACCATTAAATCCATCGGAAGACCATTGATGCTATATTTTCTAATTTAGCCCACAATAAGTTTTGGTCAACCTAATCAAAAGCTATAGAGAAATCATTTGACATGCCTAATGAATATTATTTACTATCTAAAGAGCTAACTAACTCATTGATCACAAAGTGCTGTTTCAGTACTTTTTTGCCTTCTGCATCCATGTTGATGATCTGACAACACTTTATTACTATAAAAAGTCACAAAGTTGTTCCTTAATAGATAGCTCAGAAAGATTAGCAAAGCTACTCAGTAAACTTATATATACTATACTCTATAGTTTGTAAAAATATTAGTGTCACCTTTTTATGTACCGATACAATTATAGCCACCTTAAGTCTATCAGGGCCTACGTCAATGCATAGATTGATTAGAAATTTTAACGGTTCAGTGAAGTTCAGTGACTAAATTTGAAATTTTTATAAGGAGATTGTTGTAAATACTGTCTTGTCCACTAGAGTTGAAAGACTTTAGTTTTCCTATTAGTTGATGAACATCATTCGTAGTGACTGGATGGAGGAAAAATGACTTGTCCCAAGTTGGTATATTTCTGGATAGAAATTCAGTATCGTATAATTATTTTTACTTGAATTACTACCAAATTGCATACTAAAGCTAGAAGTTATTTCATTGTCCGATATATGTCTCCCATCCGTCATGATTTGGACTTGAGTTGCTCCACATCAGCACGGCGAAATTATCGTACACTATCGTCACAGTACCGTAGGTCCCAGAGTTCATGTTTAGGGAAGGTGCTCTCGAATGTTGCAGGCTATACATTCTCTATTTGATTTTTGTGCTTCTTGTCATCATTCATCACTGTGCTGTCACATTTGATCAGTTATTTGATTATAAGACCGTTGTACCACCAAGTTCATTCGTAAAATTACCTTTCATTTAGGAGTTATCATACAAGTATAGTACTTGATATCGTACAATAACGATAGTTATGGCAATGGTGCTCCCCCTAGTCCTCAGTCTGTTTTCTGGGATAAGGATTTTTATTGTAAAATGATTCTTTAGTATCACTTAGTAGCTTGCAGTATTGATTTTGTAGTTGCTTACCTAAAGCATCTAATTTTCCAAGACCATTAAATAGAATTGCCCTTTCCTTCATCATTCGGATATCTGCTGTCAACTATTCTTTTTTATTGTTATTGTTAGCTGCTACACGAATTTTTCTCACATTAAAATGATACAAAATAGTCTGATCGAACGGTTCATATTCTGCATGAGGATTTGACTGATGGTATTTATACCTCAAGCAAATTTACCCCCTCTAAGTATGCTAAGAACTGAGTCAGATTTTGTTGGTTGAAATATCCATTGAATATATATTTTGGTGTATTATCTTTTATACTTATGGAGGTAAGCTCAAGAGTAAAGAGTAGTGGTCAGACAAATACAAGTTTTGTACTTCTACATTGTATTCCAATGAGAAGCCATATGTATCAAGAACGAAAACTGATCACTTTTTATGAAGTTTATAATAACATTTTCTTTCGTGTCACTTGAGTTAGCACCTATTCGCGTTTTTGTCATTTTGTGATTTTTTTTTTCGTGTAAACGAGTTAAAATGGCGAGAGTGAACCCGTGCACGTCCTACTCGTTCGAATGCTTAATTACTACAGTTGCTGCAGTCTGGCCTTTTGTATTTATTAAAAACGTACTTGTTTAACATTTGCAGTCCTTATTAAAATTTCGTCCTCGCTTTCGTATTAGGATAAAATATTGTCCCTTGTAAGGGCGATGGTATAACCGAACCGATAAAATTCCAGAAGTGGAATCAAATATCAAAGTTGCAAATGCAAAATTTAAAAATGCAATAGAGAGTAGGTTTCATGATTGACAGCAAAACAATTGCAAAAATCAGCAATGGGTCCTTTTGTTTCACGACCGATGGCAGTGCTGAGTCATCGCCACCAGAGGTCTGCACTGATGGATACCGCCTTTCTTTTTGCTGAATAAAAGAAAGCTCCTTAACTTGGACACTTAGAAATCTTAAGGACCCAGCTCATAAGCATTGAGAATGACCATTTTTAGGGTTTTTAAGACGAATCCCTTTTAACTCGAAAACGTTGAACTTAGATGTTAAAATAGTTACTTAGGACCGTTTCTGTCCAGAATGATCAAAACGATCCCAACGAAAACAAAAGTTAACAAATTTTAATCTGATTAAAAAAAATATTGTTTGAACGAAATTACACTGAGCTACCACCTTGAAACCTCTTAATTAATTTTAAAGGGCATCCAACGCTTTGTCTAATTTGCTTTGTCAAGTTCTTAAACTTAGGAGTAACAGAGTATTTTCCAAATATCCTCCTCCAGAATGAGGCCGAAAACACATGCGGCATCTAGCGTCAAAATAGTTGGCTTATTCCAGTCTCGATGTTCTACATTATGTAAAATTCTACATTAAGATATCCACGGGACTGCATATCGATAGTAGATATTTTTTACTTTCAGGAATCGGTCCAAAGTAGTGTCATAGGAGCTGATGTAGAATGCAGTGCTGGGAAATAATAAAGATTTATTGTTACTTCCGACAGCCTAATCATGTGATACATTTCTAAAATGTTGTAGTGTAGATATTTCCTACTAAGATTTCATTTTCATTTAATGTTTTACATACGTATATAGATACTCTCTGTGTTATTACACTCCATTCCAAATGTATGAAAGTATTTTAGACATTGTGATATTTATTTTGAATAAAATCGCAAATCTTCCTATGACAATATATATCTGTACTTTTATTCCTTCCTATACATATGTGCATATATTCTTACAAACTATCTCTTACATCCTATACAAATATGTATATACATAACACAGCTGTTCTATTTTTTTTGATCACAGAACCTCGAAGGCTTTGAGTATACTTTTAATTGAGTACAATATTAATTACTTTATTGTAAATAAAAGTTATAACTATGTTTATTAGACATATAAGACATAAAAATAGTGAGAAAAACAAACTATGTGAACATGAAAAAACAAGTCTTACCATATTTAGTGCTTTTTGGTAAATGCTATGTTGGGAAGTTCATTCAATAGGTTGGCTAATTTGAGTTGGCTAGAACTATTTTGACGTTTTTAGGAGACTATTAGTATTTGTGAACATTTGTTGAATTATTTACACACTAAATTATTGTTAGTATTCTAAAAAGTTGCGAATTCAAAGTTTGGAATATTAAAATTGCTTCGTGTTGTTGTGTTGTGAAGTGTAACAGTTTGGTGAAAACAAGCACACAATGTGTCAATTACATAAAAGTGCACGAAATACCACCGAAAAACACGGAATATAAAGTTATTTTTCTCCCACATCCCAGGTACGTGACGTCACGTGGGGGTGACCTATTTGAATTATAGAAATTAAGTCACGCAGCCCGATGGGAAATTTTAACTTCTCACAAAATTAAATAATGAAGTTCTACCTTCTCCCATTGATTAATATATTTCTCCAGAAGATACGTCCGCGCACAGAGGCAGATGGCATATGTATGTGTGAGGGAGATGGATCTATAAAAGTGATGCTGGTAGTTTTAGTGTGACTCGCCAAAAATCGCGAAAGAAACTGGAGGCGGGGCAGCGATGGTGGCTAGGATCATGTTCAGGGGGTTTCAATAATAATACCGGCACACAAAAAAACAAGTGTGGTCTGTACATTTGACTAGACCCATCTATGGTTATGTATTTCCAAGCGCTGAATCCGAATCTGAGGTCGTTTGACCCTCAAAGTTTTGAGTAAATTGTAAAAAACAAAAACTAACTAACTTATGCAAACAAAAAAATCTCTTCCTATATCAAATGTATTTCTTATGTATTTCAATGCGATGAATACAAACCTGAAGCCATAGCTAAATCTCGTAGACCCCTCCAAATTTCGAGTAAATCGCAAACAATTGCCAAAAATCGCTAGAAATCGAAAAGGTTACATTTTTGCCTCCATGTAATTGATGCGCTGAATAGAAATCTCGTTGACGATGCGAGTTTAGAGTAAATTGCGAAAAATCGCTTCAAATCGCTAAAAAATTGTAAAAAATGCCAATCATGCAAGCAACAATCTGCAATCATGTTGACGTTCCACCTTAATTGACATCGATTTTTCCTTTCACTCATGTCCTGGTGAAATCCTTCTCCTTGTTCTTCACTGAGGTGTCTAAGATTTAATGGAAGGTAGTCAAGAGCAAGCTGGTGACGGTGGGCGCCTTTGGCAGAGACCCTAGGTTAACGGCGAGTATGCCGGCATGGCAACAAAAAGTTACTTCTACATATGTAACAAAAGCCCGTATGTTTGTGGAGAACTTGTAGTAACTACGTACCAAAGACCTTTATTTGCCAAATTAATATCGATTTATGAAAACTATTATTAACTAGTATTACAGTTACGGGTTGGGATGCAATCTGGATGATATGATATGGTCTGCACGTAGAAAACTGTTGTTTTTGCATGACGGATATAACAGGTCTTTCTATTATATTACTACTAAATCAAAACTCGAGTACTCCAACGATGACTCAATTGTAAAACCTAAAAAAATACGTACTTCTTTGTTGATGAACCTGGTACTTCCGCCCAAATGCATGTGGAAGAGGAAAAAATGCAAGTCGACGAGGTTTTCCAAGAAGATAGTTCTGAAGATGAAGAGTACCTAACGGATGGTTCAAGAAAAGATTATGAAGTTTTTTCGTAATTTATTCCACATTCGCATGGATTGTGAGCTATACATCAAATATATAATTGAACGAGTACGAAAAAAATTCAGCTGCATAACTGCCAGCCATGTTTGCGGTTTTTAGCGATTGTTTGCAATTTTCTGCTATTTATTCGAAATATTTAGGACCTGCGAGCCAAATCTACTTCAGATTTGCATTCACCTCGTTGAAATATATTGGATATACATTTGCCATGTTTAGCCATTTTTAGCGTTTTTTTACAATTTACTCAAAATGTTGATGGTGTACGGCTCAAACGGACCTCAGATTCGTATTCAGTGCACAGAAATACATAATCTTAGCAGGGTAAATGTACAGACCACTTTTGTTTTTTGTGTGCCAGTGTAATTTTTTGAAGAGAAATCAGTGGCGTACCATTAATGAATAAAATAGGCAATTGAAATTCCGTACAAACGCCACTGTTTGAAATAAAAAAAAAAAAAACATGTAATACTTTAAAAAATGCATCTTGATACACATTTATATGTACGCCAAATTTCATTAAAACATCTAAAGTGGTATTCACAAAACTTTACCACCCTGTATTCCAAAAGCTCAAACGCTTAGGACATACGTTCATACGAAGTTTTCTTTTTTAAAAGGGCCAAATTGCCCCTTAAATATTAATATTAAATAAGGTACCGACGATCGTCTTTAGGCCTCAGCTTTGTCACCTCTTTAACAGTTGCCGCAGGACAAGGTATTTCCGTTTCCGTTGCTGAAGAATATTAATTGTGATCTTTCCGTGGCACGTTTAAGAATAAACAATTATCTTCAAAAGGAAAATGGAGTCTGGTTTTAAATTGTATGTGATTGTCTAAATTTAGCATAGGATTGTGAGAGAATATCTTAATCAATAGTTCTATCCAGCCTATCTACTTGATGTCGCACAAAAGAGCGACACCTCTGAGTGTCCAATGTCTTGGATTGTGATCCGTTTCGAAATCTATCGAGCCAACGTATTTCAGATCTGTTCTTTGTGGCTTTCTGTAGATGGGACACTCGTACAATTTGGGATCTTTGCCTGCTGTGGTGTTGATTGCGTAGATGTAGATTACTGGCATTTGCTCGTACAGCACCTAGAAGAGAAAATAGTGTCAAGTAGGTTGAATCGGTACGTCTCACTGAGGTTATTTGGTGTAGACACAATATGAATTTTTAGGCTTTTACGATTAATTATGGTATGTTACATATATATGTTTGTCAAATAAACTTGCATGGTTAATTAATTCCGATCCAGTTCTTTGCCAATGACACATGAAATATGAATTTTACCAGACTAATATTTCAATCCACCATGGTCGATTGACTGGATTTTTCATGGTTTTCGGCGAGTCACAGTAAAGCTGCATGAATTAATTTCATACATTTATTTCCCTCATACATACATATAAAATAGATCTTTATGCCCGGACGCTTGTGTAAACCCATAAACGCGTTTTGTAGTTGTGTTTCACCGCCTTAAGCATTTTGTGGTCAACGTCTTCCACGTTTATGCACGCCACTGTCAGTATGACAACTTGTTTGTCATGGGCGTGCGATTTGAGCTAACCTCTTGTTAATCTTCCATATAGGTCATAGCAATGTGAGGTACAGATACAATGTCGACAGTCTGTATCAATTTTATAGGCATACTTTCAGAAAGTGACGACCCAGTTCATGTGTGTGCAAGAGCGAGTACCCGCTGTGTTAAGGATCGTCTTCCGCAGTGGGCAGTTTCCGTTAATGAGGATATAACTAATGCACATGGTGCATTTAGTTAATCTGCTTACATATTTTGTATGACGTTGTGACGTAACCGCCAAATGCAGTTAAAGCTTTTGCTTAATAAATTTGAAAACTCAATTTAAACGGACTATACCCATACACTGGATGGTCATTAAAAGGAAACACAAACTAAATTAAATATTAAATAATTATTGTTAAACATTATATTATTTATTTAATAATACTAAATAAAGTATTGTTAAAAATAATAGCTTATCAGCGGAAAACAATTCTCCACCCGACGACATCGACTGTCCCTGATTAAAGTAATTCAAAAATTGAAGCTCTCCTAAGTAATCAGAAGCTTGAGAAGCACAGAAAAAAACATCAACAATTTTAAAAATTGTATTGTGTCCGTCAACCGGCAAATGGACAATACCTTCGGTTTACTTTCAATGAGTTTTCCGCTTCTTCTATCCAAACCTGCTCCTTCCAAGAAAAGACCATGGACATAGACGCCTTCTGCAGGTGGTTCTTTCATATCCTCCTTATTATAACGAGTTATCAGATTTTGCAGAACTACCGAATCCAGTGCCCAGCCTTTATGAGCCCGCGTCACTTCCTAAAATAACGCCTTTTTTACTATATGTTTTAATAATGTGTAAAATATAAACTCGGAGAGATATACTCTATATACAATAATCCATTGCCTTCTAGAAATCAATTTGGACATTCAGTTATAGGACACAGAGCAATAGCAATATTGCCATTCTTCAGCGATTCGAGAACAAGGTCCAGAGTGATTGCCGACGCACAATTCACAATGAAGTGATTCAGCGTAATATCCCTCTTCCTACCATTAAGTAAGTCATCCACGAGCTCAGTTTTAGAACTATTGGATACTTTAAACCCTAACGTGTTATCCAACCGGTTATACGTGCCTAATAATGAGCTAGTGAATAAGTTAAAACGCCATCTATCACCTGAGTTGGCACTAGAACCACGATAATCCTAAGTCATAACATAAACAATTCAGTATTTAGATAGAGACTACTCACTGGAGTGGAACTATCCATGTCCTTTTTTCTAGTTATATTAGTCAGAAAACCATACACAGGGTGTTTCAGAACTAAGGGATCAAACTTCTAGGAGTTATTCAGTGTAACAGTAGAAAACATTTGAGTATAGGGACCCGTATCCAGATAAGTGTCAGTACGGCACTACGGCCCTAAGACGCGTTAAAATTTAGAAAGACGATGAATTGCCTAAATAGGATTTAATGCATTTAATTTTTGCCTTTTGTATAATATGATATCATCACAACAATTATTCAAAATGTCTTTCTCTAACCTGAATACACCGACTTAAACGTCGCACATGATTTCGGCGGACTTGACTAAAAATTTGATATTCGTTTGAATGATTTCAGATGCTGCTGTAATTCGTCCAATTAAGTCTTGCTCTGTTTCTACTGGAGTTTCGTAAACCAAAGACTTTACATGTCCCCACAGAGACAGGTTGGAGGAAGACATTTTGAACAGTTGTTGTGATGATATCAAATACAAAAGGCAAAAATTAAATACATTAAATCCTATTTAGGCAATTCACCGTCTTTCTAAATTTTAACGCGTCTTAGGGCCGTAGTGCCGTAGTGACACTTTTCCGGATATGGGTCCCTATACTCAAATGTTTTCTACGGTTACACTGAATAATCACTACAAGTTTGATCCCATAGTTCTGAAACACCCTGTACATACATATATCTACTTGTACAAAGCCCAGACATGCATAGATACATAACAAGAGGTTTTTTCTAGTAATATTGTACTTAGGCACCTCAGTTTGTTTCAGTGAGGTTTGAACTGAGAGCAGACCTTATTATGCCAATTTTTGATCTTACCTGTCTCATGGCTGTCAAAAATCCTTGAGGATTGAAGAATCCAGTCATCCAAAATGCGTTTGGTCTGCCAGTCTGAATCCATGTTCTGAACTGAACGTCTCTCTCTAACAGCTCAGTGTACCAAAATCCTAACGTTGCAGACTCCCAAGAAATCTAAAATTCAAATTACAGAGTATTTGTCAAGATAAAACTAATTTGAAAAGTATAGAATAATTGCGATCTTCGTTAGCCAGCTTCATGATGTTCGGAAAGTATTAAATAAATTTCAGGCTTATTTTTCCTTATTGTTTTTACCTTCAACCATCTCTCTGGTATCCTGGCATCGTACATAGCGTCTAGGGATGTCCTTAGATTTTGGCTCATCACTATAGTCCCGTCTATAGCTAGTTTCAGGTCGCTTAAAGTTGACTTCACCTGAAGTAAAATTGAAAATATGTACTATGTACATATGTACCGATTCGGTAAAAAATGTCAATCACCTTCACTTTAAAATTCTAAGTGTATTCGATAAATTCTCTGCTTGGTGTCAAAGAAATAGGTTAATCTTAAATTATAATAAAACGGTTGTTATCAATTTTAACATCCAACGTACAGTAAGTTGACTTAGACTTGAATATGTATGATCTTATTTTATCGGATTCTTGTAAATTACTTGGTACATATTGTAAACTAAATTTTCATGAACATGTAGATCACGTATGTAAACCATATTTTGCCATTTTACAACTTAAAGATGTCGTGAATGATAAAGGTATTATCAATGTATATTATGGGCTGGCTTATAGTCATATGCCTTATAACATTATGATATATATATATATATATATAATTAATAGAGTATTTGTTGCCCAAAAAAGAATCGTCAGATTAATTTTCGGAATGAAGCCACTTGACTCCTGCAGAAAAATGTTTAAATCACGAGAAATTCTTACATTATACTGGATTTACATTTTGAAATGTGTAACTTACGTTAAGAAGTTTAATAACTTGTTCAGAAATCAAAATTTAAAGATCATCCAGACACATACCACGACACCCTTCTATGACTGCATCAAATTATACAATAAATTACCAGCTGAAATACAGCAAATTAGTAATTATTTTCGATTTAAAAACCAAGTTAAAAAATTATCGGCATCAAATGCATTTGATAACATAAGTGAATTTATGGAATGTACAACCTTGAGCACTTAAAGATGGAATTGAACATTTATGTGGATTGTTATGTTTATATTGATTTTACTTATATTTTTATAAATTTTATTTATATTATATAGCTTATTTATTTTATTATATTTATTTATTTTTCAAGACATGTACTCTGTATCTAAGTGGTTAATAAAGATAAAGGATGTAGCATTCACTATATCTGACAATGAATATAAGTTTGTCACCACATTTACCTTTTTTGGAACTTGTCAAAAAGCGCACTAAAATAGCCGCAACCTCAACAACGGTTCGTTTTCACCGATCAAAGATAATTTTTTTTAGCTGAAAATCAAACTTTCTAACAAATTTGGGGCATTGACCGTCATATTCCTATATTCAAATCGCATTTCAGAATCAGATGTTTCCCAGGTTGTAAATCAAAATCCATGTCTATGTTAACACGTCTGAAATTTCACCATCGGGGAGCACCTTAGGACGTTATTTATACGACATTGTCGTATTTCTTCGTAGTGTTTCATATGAAGCAGGCCCTAAATTCACCTCTTTGATAACCTTCTGTATTCTGTCGATCTCCTGCCTGAGAAAGATGTTCATCGGCTGTAAAGGTCCCATCCTTTGCAATGCCTCCCTGACTTCGAAATTGTTATACGGCTCTGGTAGTTTTTCCAACATGTCTTCAGCAAGACAATGAACAACAGATTCTCGGGTTTCTCCACCACCTCCACCGCCTTCCTTGGGTTGGACGTTCAGAATTGTGTCCAAAATAGCTGCAAAATGGTGTCAAGTCTGTATACAATTTTGTTATTTACGCCCATAAGTGACTAGAATGTTAATAAATGAATTTTCAGATTATGCAAAAATTTCAACCACTCGGTAACAATTTTTTAACTACGTCCAGAAATGTTCAATAGCTCGATAGTCATAGTCGTGTCTGAGCTATTCAAGGCGAACTGAGATTTTAAGAGTTCCAACTGATCGCTCCTATACTTCTGAAGTAGACGATTCTGGTAATAGATGTCGCTGTCCGACATTTCGATAGTTATAGAGGGGCCAACGATTACTGGACACAGGCCGTCATAAACGAATGTCAACTAACCTTTAGCAGAGTTGATCTGATAAGTAATATCTGCATTCGCATGTAAACCAAATACTTCAGGGTTATCAGCAGCTTGTAGTCCGTTAATGTAATCAATGTATCCAGAAAGATTCCTTGTTTGAGGCACCTTGTAATTCTTGTAGAATTCAAAGCCTGGTCGAAGGAGAACGTCACAAAACCATACCTAGACATACATTTTTTATGAAGGAGCTGTAGAAAGTCGTCTTAAATGAATCTGTATCTGAATGTCAAAAGTAGATTCGGTTTTGAAATAATTGAAATCCAAGACCGCATCCGCCAACAAAACAATTGTAGCTGTGACTTTCTGATCTCATCCATCATTTAAAAGAACCAAATTGTTGATGTCGACCAGTAATTGCATCTGCACTTTCCACTTTCTACTATATCGCCAGAATCGAGAATATCTAGCGGTGGCGACTTGTTTGTCGCCAAAATTGCATAACTTTAATGCATACTTTTAACTCATTTGACTACCAACGCCTACCAAAGTGATAGCGTTGTATCAACATAATAATAATACTTATATTATGCAAGAAGTACTATGTCTTGAAATCGTCTTACACCATAATTATCTGCAAAGACTTGCACTTTTAATAAATAACATTGAACGTAAGAGTTGAATGACAGAATTGTAAAAAAATTGACTTATGTTAAGTGAACTTTGATTCTCACTCCAGACTATGAGAATTAGGAGACAATCAAATCCTTGATTAGCTCCTTCTAGTCTCAATTCGTTGGTTCCAACAGATAGGTGCTGATCGCTCTCGTAGTGTTCGATTCTGGTAATATATAGCACTTTGTGCTGACCTACTACTATGGATTATCGGCATTGACGAGTGGATCATTTTTGAATAAATTCAATTGCCGATGTCAGGTAGTTATCACATCCACTATTTTTGAAAAAATCAGTCTTCACCAATTTTTTGAAAACTGGATTGTCGACGTCGGGAAGTGAATGTCTTCACTATTTAAAAAACCCAGATAGCTGACGTCGACCAGTAATAGCAACTATCATTTTTGGAAGAAACATTAAGACTAACAACGCCAGATATCCATAATTATTAAAAAACAGATTGTAGAGGTCAACTAATATTCGCATTCACCTTATTTTGAGCAACTAGTTGCTACATCCACAATTTTAAAAAAATCTGATGTCAGGTAATGATTGCATTGACCACTCTTTAACAGGTTGACTGCTATGAAAAATCGTAGTAAATGTCTCTGGTGCCAATTTGAGAAAAGTGAAGCTTTTTGTAACAGATGTTCCAAGTCATTATTATTTTCACTTTCCCTTGTAAGCTACACCGAAAACCACTAACTTGAGCTAGGCGTGTATGCCATAGTGGTCTTCTGTTATAATAATTGTGTGTCTATCAACGACCGCTGGCACAGCATAAATGAATTTTGAAAGCAAGTGTGGAGCGGTCGCATACCACGGCCATGGCATGGTGGGGTTATTTGCAGGTGGTCGTATGCGATCGCCATGGCATTCAGCCTGTTAAAATCAAAATTGTTCAGTTCGTCAACGTTAAATATTGACGTCGACTAGTGATCGCATCTACCCCTTTTAAAAACTCAGACAGTTGACGTCAACTAGTAAAACACATTTTTTCCAAAATTTTTCGGCCAACGTGAGGTAGTAGTCATATTCACGATTTTAAAAAAATAAGAATGTTGACGTCGATTAGTGATGGCATCCACCATTTTTGAAAACACTAGATCGTCAATGCAGTGGACGCATTCACCTTCATTTCGAAAAATCAGGCTGCTTGACGTAGGGCTAGCGATTACTTTGCCATTTGTTAAAAATGCGGTGGGATATTGGTATTTAATTTGCTTGTTTGTTTCAGATTTATTTAGCATTAATGCTACAATATCCATAATATCCATATTACACAGCATATCACAAAATATATTATGTCTTCAAGACTACATATTTTTATAAAAAATTTAACTACTATGAATTCTGGTTTTCCATGAGATATTTTTTCAATTTCCCTTTGAACATTTTCAAACTAACACACATCTTGATATCATTACTTAATTTATTAAATTCGTACAATTCCTTTTGAAATACTGACTTGCTCGTTATATTGCTACTGCAGTTTTGTAAATGAAAGTCTATACTTTCTCTAGTAGAATAATTGTGGCACTCATTGTTGAATACAGTAAAATTTTCTAAGTGATTTGGTAGAAGATGATTTTTTAACTTGAATATGAAAATGAAAACCAAGTAGGCTATGACATTTCTGATATTTAACCATAGTTTTTTCAGCATAAAATTTATTCTAGTATATTTATTTTTATTTAGGATGATTCTCATAGCTTTATTTTGAAATATTTGTAATTTTGAAAATACTGTTCATTTGCAGTGAACAAAATTGTCGAACAAATGAGGAAGAATGATAGTGTTGTACACAATTTTTTTAGAATAAACGCTTAGGCTATGCGAAATTATATAAAAGTAATTTATTTTCTTGGATATTTTTGAAATAATATATTCAAAGTGCCTTTCAAATTTTAATTTACTGTCTACGTATATGCCCAAATATTTAAATGATTCGATTGACACAATTTTTTCATGATTAATTAGCTTTGGCCATTTGGAATGTACAAAATAAAAGCGCGTTGCTTTAGCAACAAAATTTAATTTATTGTAAGCATCATTGCAAAGTTTCATGTAAATAACTTTAAGTAAGGAATTTCAAAAGAAAACATGTCTGTCGTAAGTGTGGAAATTGATAAAAGGGAATATCGAGCCATCATTAAGTACCTATATTTGGAGGGGTTATCGAGGAAGGTGATTTACGAGGACATAGTCAATACCCTTCGTGATGACTGTCATTCATATGAAACTGTGAAAAATTGGGTTGCTTGATTCTGAAGAGGAAAGTTATCCATTCAAGATGATGAGACATCTGAAAGACTCGTGTCAGTGCCAACCCCGGAAATTGTTGATGCAATTCATGATTTAATATTTTCAGACCGTCGAAGAGGAAACATTTTTTTTTCGAAAAGTTTTGATGCTCTATAGGCTCGATCTAAAAAGTGTGTTGAGTTAAAAGGAGGCTATGTTGAATAATAATATATGTATTTTCATTAAACAAATTTCAGTGCTTCAGTAGCACGCTAGGGATATATCAATATCCCCTCGTAAACATATAAGCACCAAAAGCAAGAAAATGTAATGCACCTGCGTGAATGTGATAAGGAGTCTTTTATCAAAATCGTCAGTGACCCTTCCTCCATACATAACTTCTCCTAGCATGTAGCAAATCGTAGGCCATGAAACGCCTTTTTTAGGGTCCATTTCATCAAGGTGGTTCTGGATAAATTGAACACTTGCCGCAAAGTCTGCTTGGTTGAATTCGTATGGTATATTCCATCCTAAAAAGGAACAAGAATGTCTTTGACCTCCCATGCTCGTCTGGTCAATAAAACCACATGTATTGACATATAGTCAACGCCAAACAAAGTGGCGTGCACGTCATCACGATAAAAATTCCCCGACCTAATGCCTAGGTTTCTATCACAAACAATTGCTCTATTGCAGTTTCATATTAATGTGATATATAAATTGTAAAATGGTCATTACTCTCTTATTATGGTTAATAGTCATATAAACATTGTTATTAAAATATCACATAAGTTGCTTTCTGATAAATTTAGACGCATTATGCGAAATAAAATGTTTTGCAAACGCTCCAATCACTTATCGACATGTAAACGCACTAAACCGATTTCGCAGCGTTGACACATTGTCACCTTGAAACTTATTTAAACTGGGAACTGACATTTGTATTAATTTTGACACTGAATCAATTTGTGGCATTTCAAATCTTTATAAATCCTTTGGCCCCGCATACTGTAAATCAACAACTGTTTGTTTCAAAACAAAATTATTCATTTTACGAGTAGATAAAGGCAATTTTGGTATATAAAGATGCCCAAACAGTTAAATACTCGGTGTAAGGAACTCGTGGCCTCGTTAATGCACTACTTTGAGCAAGAAAGGGACAACAACGGGCCTTTGTTGCCTTTAAATGCTGTTCAAGAGGTAGGTTACTAATAATTATATGTAATGTATATTAATAATAGTGAAATTTTATTTCATTTTTTGTAGCGTGTTGCTGCTGCTTTAAAAATTAGTTTAAGGACAGTTAGTCGTATTTTCGAGGGTGTGAAAAGTGATGCAAATTTAGAATCGCCCAAGAAAAAGCGGAGTTATATTAAACGTGTAACCAACACAGCGACATTGGATACAAGTGCCATTCGAGAAGTGATCTATAATATGTATCACAAAAGTAAGATCTTATTATAATAACTTATCAGAAATTTGCATTAATTTGTTAACTAAATTATAATGTCATATTACACATGGTTTCAGAAGAACAAGTTACGTTACAAACTTTATGGTCTCGATTAAGAGATAGGGCATTATTTGATGGTAGTGCCACGTCTTTAAGGCGGTTGCTTAGAGATCTTGGATTTAAGTGGCTTAAGGACAATCCGCGACGAGGGCTCATGGAACTACCAAGTATAGCTTTGAAAAGGGTGGAATTTCTAAGGCAATACAATCAAGCCAAGGTTGAGGCCTTATACCAGTTTGTCTTCCTCGATGAAACTTGGATATTTCAAAATGGGACCATAGGTCGCTCTTGGCAAAATGGAAACCAAAAAAGCGTGAAAGCTATTAAAACAGATGGTAAAAGGTATGTACTTTTACACAATTTGCACTATAAAATTTAAAACTAATATATTTTAGATACATTATATTACATGCTGGAAATGAAAATGGGTTTATTGAGGGTAGTGAAGCGATATTTTCTTCGAAAACAAAATTGAGCGATTACCATGGAGAGATGAACCAGGACAATTTTTTGAAATGGTTTCAACATCAGTTATTAGAAAAATTGGAGAGTCCATCTATGATTATACTGAATAACGCCCCTTATCACAGCATGATATTGAACAAAGTACAATGCATGGACAAAAAAAAATATCCAAGACTGGTTGACAAATCAAAACATACCATTTTTAAACACAATGTTTAAAACAGAGCTATTGAGTATTGTTGCTCGGTACATAATGCTTCTTAATTATATATATTTTGGTCGACAGTTTATATTTCTTTTGTTTATTCCTATTCTTAAAATAACTGCTTTTTTAGAAACAAACCACCTAAAATATACGTGATTGATGAATTGGCGGAACAACATGGGCACAAAGTTCTTCGTCTGCCTCCTTACCATTGTATATTTAACCCTATTGAGTTAATTTGGGGCATAGCAAAAGGTTACTATAACAGACATATTGGTAGAGATGGTAACAGTGAAAAAGACTGTTTGGATATGTCGAACGAGGCTCTACAAACGGTTACCCCAGACATGTGGAAAAATAGTGTTCGACATACTGAGCAAGAAATTTTTAAATGGTATGAAAGAGAACGAATTTTTGATCGACCAGACATCGAACCTTTAATAATCAACTTTGAGAGTGATGAAGATTCAGATTCAGACAGCGCTGACGAAAGAAACTCCGACTAACTTTATTGTACAGAAAAAGCTTACACCAGTAGCTTACCTAATTTTAGAATGCATTTTTCTGTATGAATTCTGTAAAATAAATACCATGCATAAAATTTGGAGGACCCCATTTGGATTTTTATTCAGTACCTTTAAGCTATCAATTAAATATGGTAGTTTCATAGTGTCATCTGATCAATAATTGTCATACTTAATGATTATGCAAGTACAGATCTATAATTTTATTATACTATTATTTTTGTTCTCATTTGAGGTTAATATTGCTTATAAACCTAGATATGTAAATAATAAATTTTATTATTTTACAAAAAGTTTGGCAACAATGTAAATTTTTCAACACACCCACCTTGATGACGTGCACGCCACTTTGTTTGGCGTTGACTATATAATTACTGTAGTAAACATTTCAATGATCCTCTTCAGTACAATGACAATACCCGACTTATCTGTCGTTTTTTTGCTGTATCAGATACGTCACCCTCTATAGTCCCAAAAACTACAAAAGTCTTCCAAAAATCGCGAATCGATTTAAATATTTCAAGTGCATTGTCTCGCATCTGAAACGCGAGAAATGCTGTTTGCCCTATGAGAAAATAATATGACACAACAGTTTGGCCTTGAGATTTCAATGCAGAACATTTGCGCGTTTGAGACCCAACAACAAACCACAAGAAAAACCTGGATAAAAAATTCATGGTCCATTAGTTTGGAAAAATCAATTATTAAAAGTGTATTCCAATTTTCTTTCTAGTTGTTTTATAGACTGTGACCCAATTTGGTTAAATATCCTTGAAGGAAAGATCTGATGGATATTCCCTAACCTAACTATAGACCACGGTTTTTCTTGTGGTATCTTGTCTGGTCTCAAACGCGCAGATATTCTGCTTGCCATCTAAAGGCCAAACTGTTGTGTCATACTATTTTCTCACAGGACAAAAGACGTGGTGCACTTTAGATGCTGAAGTAGGTGCAACGATTTAATAGAAGATTACATGACAATTAACCGGTGTGTTGATCTGGGCAGGTTTTCGACTTTTTTGGAAGGCTCTTGGTGTTTTCGGGACGATGGACGAGCCTGACGTATCTGGTACATTAAAACACGACAGATTGCCTAATACTCGCTTGTTTTGGAGGGCTGGATGTCCTTTTTGGGAACGGGAATGCCTACCCCAGGCGGTCTCTTTCCCTAGTATAACATACCTAGAGGTCCAAATTTTCTTCTTTCTTGAACGACAGTATGAAGAAATGCTACTGCGTACAAAAGCGGTGGCCACTGAGGTTGTGACGAATAGTCTAAGAAATCTTGGGTGATGCTCTGATAAGTTCGTTTTAAGCTTGCTCTAATCCCTTGAGGAGGTTCATTTGTGAACTTTATTGCCATCTGAAGAAGACCTATGATGAAAAAGATAAAGAACTATTGAAAAACTATATGATAGTGCTCAATAAGTAAGGAGACCGATTGAACACCATGTGTCATTGATATATACAGGGTGAGTTTTTAGTGTGGGCGATAACTCTTCTATTACGGTCGTATCTAAAAAACTTGTATACAAAATTGTAGCCAAGAATATGCTCCGAATTTGGAACATCTTTTTATTTCTGCATAAATATGAGGTGACCCTAACATACTTTTTTTAAATGGAAAGCCCTACGTCTTATTACAGATTTAAATGGGTCCTTCCAAACGAAGCTATTTGGTTTAAAATACTATAGGGTTTCATTTTCAAATTTTTGAGAGATATTGGACAATCCATCGAAAGAAAACATTCAACTTTGACTCGCACCTCCAAAACTCTTTTAGCTGAATTTTGCGACCTTTTTACATTTCGGAATAGTATGCAGACGCAAAATTAACTACTTCTCAGAATTTTCCAATGGAACACCCTATATATTTTCACATCTTTTGATTTCCCTTTTTACAAGTTTTTTTTATGATTTATAGTTTATAGGGGCTTATGAGGCTAGGTTTCAGTTACTAAAAGCACAGGGATAGCTTCTTGACTTTTCGACCTCTATTGCATAAGGTTGGATAGATTTAACTCACAATAAAATAATCCAAAACTAACAATCTACCATCACCAGCTAACTACTCTCTTTATTTTGGAATGTAATATTTTTCATTTACTTTGATATCTGATCTACAAAAAGGTTAGTTGTATTTCAAAAACCAACCGTACAAACCCCAAAAACCTTATATAATAAGCCTGTGAAAATAGAAATCAAGGGTTGTGAAAATATATAAGCCATTTGAAAATTTAGATAAATTGTCCATTTTGCGTAAACTATCAAAAAGAAGGTAGATAGGGAGAAATGAGATCATAAAGTATTTCTGTCGAGAAATTTAATACTCTAGCTATAATAGTTTATGAGATGCGATTTGTAAAAGTTAAACATTTTCTTCGATAAAATGTCTAATATCTCAAGTATTTGAAAATAAAATCAAAATCAAATCAGATTGCTTCATCTGAAACGCCTATCCAAATCTGCAGTAAAGTATAGGTCTTTCGATTTAAAAAAAAATGTATGTTTGGGCTCTCCACATAATTATGAAGCACTCCGTGGAGATGAAGATAATTTCCTAGTAAAACGCATACTGGTGGCTACAATTTTTGTAATTAATTTTTCAGATCCGACCGAGTACACACTAAGAACTCCCCCTGTATAAATGCAAAAAATCACTGACTGATAATCACGAAATCTGGATTACCATTCGGTCTATGAACATGACAGTAACTTATTGTCATGTTTATGTCAAGATCGTATTGATCAGAATGGATTTTTCGATAGGGCTGGATTAAGGGCGGCTATGAGGAGATATATCTTCGCGAGCATTCAGTCGCTAGTCCGCCCTAATTGGTCAATCACCAATGAATACATCAGACGCGCTCATCGAAATTTTGCTGTTTGCTGTGTTGTTCTCGATTTTTGGTTAATTTCCTTATTTTCCTCACTGATTTCAATTATTCTGAAGTTTATTTTATTTGCACATAAGTAATGATTTGTAGGTAAGACTGTTTCTTTCTACTATTACAATAATTTTTGTTGCATTTTCGGAGTGCTAGTGTAAGCATTCGCAAGTTTGTACGAATGCTCTTTTGTTTTCGAGCATGCAAAATCTCCTGGTATTTGATCCTGACATTACCATTAAAGGTTACATAAAGGTCAAATCTATTAAAAAAAAAACAAAATCTATAATTTGATACTGGAATTGAACAGAACAGCATGTATTTTGGTTTTAAAGCTACTCTTGAAATATAGTTTTTGAGTTACCTATAGGGAACTGTTCATGTACTTCCGTAGTAAGCCAGATTCTGAATGAGTCATGGATATGTCCCGTATCCACTATCATCGCCATCAGTTCAGATGCAAAAGGTAGCGAGAGGTGTATGTTTTGTAGAAGCACCCATCCACCCATAGACATCGAAGATTCGATCATGTCCTTAGCTACTACTTCTTGGCCTTGGCCCATTGACACCGCCTTCAGGGCTACGGATAGACAGAGTGGTAGAGTGGTTAATTAACTAGGTTGGTTTGGAGTAATTTATTAGTTCTAAAGACTAAGTAATAACAGACATTCAGATACATACAGCCCTTCACATCTTTTTAGCTCTGGTAAGATATACAAAATGGCGTCAAGTAGGCTGACTCTGCGCTACCCACGCAAAGCTGTCACCAATTGACAAATTATTATATTTGACACAAGTTAGTCCCTATTAGAAAAAAGTTGGCTACGAATATGTATAACAGGCTCATGTCTTCCAAACAATTAGTCCATAGTCCCCACAGAACCATTGGGATTTGATCCCGCCGATAGTACCGACCACTCTGCCTGCTGCGGCACTCGCAAGCCCAGCGGAGCATTGCATACTCGTTCACGGATACAAGCATCGTCGCTCAGTTTTCAGTTATTCCTCAGCATGCGAAGCAGACAGACGTACGCTTGTTAAGTTGTCCGGCACAAGTATATTGAAAATATATCTGCATCTCATTCAAGTTTTAATGCAACATAATGTATGAAATAGGTCTAATAGGTACGTAGAATTACCGGAGCTGGAGACGTCTAAATTGCTAGCATCAAAAAATTGTCATATACTCTCCTTCATCCCTCACAACCCCGAACTTCCTATTTGAAACCCCCTGCAAAAGTTTTTCTGAAAATGATCATCTGAAACGTTAAAAACCGAAGTTTGAGCTTTTTTCGTTTTTTGCCTGCAGCTTCCCTGCCACTGGGTCGATTTTGAAAAACTACAAAGCTTTTTCGTCCTTGGACTAGGAATAACCTTGTGCGAAAATTTGAACAAAGCGCGAGCAGTACCTACCAAGTTATAGAGGGGCCAATGATTAGCAGACAGACAGACCGACAGAAATGAGTGACATGGTTTTTTGTGATGTACGTAACATCAAAAAAACATATTTCATTTTATACTCGTACATTTTTTGTGACTGCAATACTTTTTCGCTAGTGCAGTAGGGAGTAAGGAGTAGGACAAAAAGAGGAGTTTTAGCACAAAAACTCTTAACGGATGAAAATATTTGTACTTACGTATATCTTTAGACTTGGCCAAAGCAGCAATTTGTGGCGAAGGGTCTGATCCAATTGATAAAATGCAGATCAAAGGTGTTCTAGGTTCTGATTCACTCCAAGTAGCTTCTAGGTCAAGGATGCATGGTTCGCCGTATTCCGGTCCCAAAGAATCTGACAAAAACATTCGAGTGAATAGTTCAATCGTTTGCCAGTTTTATTTTAAAAGCTTTTGGCGAAGTTTTGTATAGATCGACCAGCCAAAGATTGCTAGGGACGAAAGGGGGAAATGCGATGAAAAAACCTTACCATTAGACGATTTTATATGGAGTCATAGGCGGAGATCGGAGAGACTTGAATTATTAATTGAATTTATATTTTATTACAACTGGTAGTATTAATATTTTTTTGCGATTCATAATGACGTGATACCAAACATACATTATAAGAAATAAATATACACAAACACTGAATATTGAGAACAAAATAAATATATTTTTTAGGCAACAAGTAATATTCCTATGTACGCATTATGATTGAACAGCAAAACAAATTATGCATTCTTCTAAAATAGAATACAACAAGTCAAAAATATCTGACTGAATAGAAAAATATAGGAAAACAAAAAGTAATTTCTTGATGAAGTAACCCATAAACAACACATAGAATTAGACTTTCTACTGAGATACTAAAAGCCACAAACCAATAGTATAATAAATGAATATCTAAAAATTCTAAAAGGTAGCCAATCTAGTATAGTTTCAATCCTGATTAGAGTCATGATCACTGTCTGAGGAACTGTCATTGCTATCACTTTCACCTCCTATGTTGATTATTATTTCTTCCTGTATTTCTTGAATGAGACTGTCTTTTTCCCAATATTCATCTTCAATTTTTATAACATGTCCAATAACCTTTTGCCAGTCACTGGCACTTACTGAAGCGATGGCCTTATTAGAAATTTCATCTAGTTTTTTTATAGTAAATTCGCCGCTTGTATTATGGCTTCTAATGAAAAATTTTACTTGTGCCCAAATCATCTCTATGGGATTAAACTGACACATATAGGGTGGCGTTCGAAGTGGGGTGTGTCCGAAACTTCTTATTAAATTATCTATCTTATAATTTTTCTCATCAGATGGTGGCCTATGTAGACAAGCTATTTCATAAAGCTCCATTTTTTTAGCATTAGGATCATGCTCTATACCTTTTTTGCTCAACCACGTGATGATGTCTCTTTTTAGAGAAGATCTAGTTGGAGGCTTGTCTTCCAAAGCTGAATGGTAAGGTGCATTATCCATTATTATAATACTATTAGGAGGAATGTTAGGAAATAGTTTTTCAGTAAGCCACTTCGTGAAATTTTCTTGGTTCATTTGACCGTGATAATCACCAGTGGCACAGCCAGCCTTGAAAATGAGACAGGCTCCAGGAACAAAACCATCTTGCGAACCCGCATGAACAATTATAAGTCGTCCTGGAAATGAATAAATAGCCTCATTTTAGTGTTATTTTAAGTTTGCCAACACCTTTTTGAATCACTATGTATAAAAAACATATTTTTGAGAAAAAAATACTTGCAAGGGATTATGTATTCAATTAGACAAATTAAATGAGCACTTATTAAGAATATTCCAAAATTGAGAAAAATGTATAATAAGCAAAATCGAGGTGAAAGAAACTTTATTACCTGTAGAACTTATATTGCTCAGGACACCCATAATTTCTTCGCTTTGCCAGCATTTCTTGAAAGTGAGGTCATTATCAACCGAAGTTTCGTCCAAATAAATAATATGCCTTCCTTCTTCCCGGAACTTTTTAATAGACCTAAGATACTTGTATCGCCAATGTAAAATACTGGGTCTTTCCATTAG